CAGACAGCCTCTTCCCAATATGCGTTTTTGCAATTTACATATATGCAAAAACGCATAAAAACTGGACAACTATATACAGGCCATTGTTACCGAGCAAGACGCATAAAAACTGATGAATTAGAAACCAAGATATTTTCTAAGTTCCAAAATACACAGAAAAAAAATGTAAAAAATTTCAGACCCTACTGCAGGCTGTTTCTAATTACTTAGCCCCCAACTTTCTAAGTCCCTCTGTGCGTAATTTTAGTCTTTTTTGGGCCTATTTCGAGCCTGAATTATTTCTCGTTACAGCAGTTTTTTACGTAATTACTGCAAATTCAAGGAGCATCGTTTAATCCGCTGAAGATGAATGTTACGGAAAAGCCACCGGACGAAAGTAATGAAGAGAAGTGTCGCCAGATGGAAAAAAAAGTGAACGAACTCCTCAAGGAAAGCATTTTTGCCTGGGAGAAAGGGCAAATGAAACAGGTCAGTCGTTTGCAGCACTTAATTTAATGATATTGTCTCACAGGACCTGCTAGCTCATATCTTTTCTGTATTTCCAGTTGTTTCATTTTCCCAGTTTGCTCAATTGCTCAACCGTATGCTAAAGTCAGAGGTTAAAACCTCTTTCAAATTCGCCTTCTATACCAAGCCAAAGCATCTTAAAGTATTTTGAGCGTTTCAGTTGCAAACAGCACCACTCGGAGGAAAAAGTGTTAATATTTCTGTCACGAAAGCGAGCAATGAAGCATGATCCTTGGTGGATAATGGCGAGCCAGTATGGTCGGCCAGTGCTACTCGCTTGCCCGATCATGACAATAGAAACGCAGTTTTCCCCCATGGGGATTCAACAAACAACACTAGCCAACCAATAATCAATACAGTATCGTCCAAACTCCCACCATGAGGCAGATTCCACCGCGGAATCGAACCCTGGGCTTTTAAAAAATGGCGCTATTTACCACGGCGCTTTGCGGAAAAGAATTCAGGCTTCAAGTATTTTTCACATTTCAGGCACTGGAAAAAGCTAAGGAAGCAGGTCGACGCGAGCGC